ACAGTTTTTAGGTGGTTTTTAGACAGTTAACACGTTGTCAACTGGCAGTTTTTAGGCAGACTGTAAACTGGCAGTTAATGAGCAGTTTATTGCCCGTCTTTTTTCTCCTGGGCACTACAGTCCATGAGCAGGAGCGTTAAGAGAACTTTTTATTAGCGACGTGTCATGTATTGAATTTTAAACTTAAACGTTTCCATACAGAGTTTCTCGGTATGACTGTTGGAATTCGTCAGCTTTCGTGATCTAGATACGATAATCTTGACCCAGCGTACCAAGTGCTGCCAGTAGCTTTTCGGGAAAATTAGTTTTCGTCTTAATTTTTCATTTCTAACTCCGGTGAGTGATCTGTTACGATTTCCGGACATAAGGAAAAAGACAGGGTGTTCGGAATGGAGTTCAAAATGACAAAATTCAATCATATATAACAAAAAACAGGGTGTTCGGAATGAAATTTGTCTAGCAGTTCGTAATGAACTCTGACAATCGCTTTTTAAAGGTTGAACAGCAAAAACAACCTTAAAGGTGGATGCAATCTTTAAGACAGAATAATGGTGATCACGACTAGGCGAAAATTGGATGAATAAATACCTATATAGTGTTAAATTGAACAGACGAAATTGAAAATAAGAGAATATAAGTGGACTAAAATCTGTGTAATGATAAAAGCTCACGCTCATATATGTGTGAATAGAGGTAAAACAAAATCTGTTTAGAGGCAATAATTTCGATAGAACATATCTTTTTATTACAGTAGCAGTAGTAATAATTTTTATTAATTTAGACTATTTGACGCTTCGATTACTCATGCAATCCAAAACTTGACCGAAATACAAAATTCAGTTGCTACTCTTTCCGAAAGAAATTGCCATTCTTTTCGCAATTTCGACTTTCCAAGCTCAATTTTTTTATTTTTTTCTAAATCTACAACGAAGTTCGTTTTCTATAAGTCGAATTAGGCAGCTGCTCCTTCATGGATAATCACTGTAGTGAACAGTAGTAGAGAATAAAGTTGCTTTCTGTCCTTCCTTCACTAAGTTTGTTGTTCTGTTATCCCAAGCAAACATCACCTATGGGAAAAATCTAGATACATTTCGTCTATAACCGGGCGATACACGACTAGTTGCCATCTGGATTACTCGTTAAAAAAGGGACTTTTGACTAGATGCGTCTGCAGATGCATCTAGCAATAGTTAAATTGATCGATTATCTAGCGATAAACCGATAGTTACAACTAGAAAAAATCTAGTAATCGCCCAATTACAGATTGATATAGATTTCCACTGTCGTTACACAGTAGTTGCAATCGAGTAAAAATCTAGTAATCTAGAAGAATCGGGCGATACTAGATTTTTTTTTGACGCTTGGGACGAAGGTAAAAGATTTCTGCTTTCTCGTTGTCATCATTATCATGTTATCTCTTGCTCTATGTATTTTTGTATTTTCGTCAGACAGCAGACACACAACAACCAGTTTCTCTCTTCTTTTCTGTGTCACCATCGCCATGGACAGATGATTATTGAAGCAAAAATTATCATAAAATATAGTCTCTTGCGCGTCTTGTGAGATGCTCATCATGCTTTATTAGCTCTCCTCATGCCCATATTGCCACTATTCTATATTGACGAAAGATGTCGTCCTATGTAATTAATTCTTTCCGATGCACTGCAGGAAAAATCTCTCACTAACTATTCATGTCTTTATCTCCGTCTGCCCTTACTCCTGTTTCAGATAACAAAGATATCTTCTATATAGCGAATAGCATTCGCTAACAAAACGATCGTTTGACACGATGATTGAGAAGCATGAATTGGACGTTCGGCGTAGAAATTCTCACCGACTAATGGAAGATTTCGAAGATTCAAAAATACTTGGCCCAGTCATCGGCTATGCCCAAGAGCTACTTCTCCCGCTTGCTGACGCATGCCCACCGTTGGTCTCTGTTATTCACGATATATTCTGACTCGCGATGAAGCAGCTTCGATTTATCTGTACACGATAGAGTGGACTGGCAAAAATAAAAGTCTCTATTCCGTTCTCAATTACACTCTCAAAACAGCTAATCGTGAAGACTTACGACTGTGGTTCAAATACATGAAAGTTTTTAGTGACGAATTTCCGCCTGAAGCTCAAGTGACATGATGGGCTTTCTCATCGTGCACAATAACGCTCACTGTGTTAGAGAGCAGTTTGTATTTGGGCAATAGGGACAAAAGAATCCTCTTCTCCATCGAAGTTTTCAGTGGCAGAAACATACGCGCTCATTCATGTTTTGACACGGAGGATGAACTTCTAATGCTACCGGGAACATACATGGAAGTACAACCACAATCTGGCGCCCGATCTGCATATCATTCATTTGAAACAGAAGCTGCCGGAGGAAATGCTACTTGCACATCCATTCGAAGGTATTTTGAACATCTTCAATAGTTTGTTTTGAATTGAAGTATTTCTATGCTCAGGTGCAAGTCTTTATCCAAAAAAGAGACGCTGGTATAGAAAGAAGAGATTTTTTGGTGCAATCACGGCTGTGTGCCTGACGGCTTTGTCGGCACACACATCGAATCGGGCGCTATCGGTGATTTCAACACTGACAGGCGTCTGGATCTTGCCATCACTAATTATGGCGATAATAATGGATGATTCACTTGCATTGTTCGTTGATATTGTTTGATAGCACGTCGATAATAATCAATTGTGTTTACATTATTTTTGCAAAATTCGTTAGCCATTGGTAGCGAACAATAACTTTTGCCAATATCTGGATGTGAAATTGGAAAAAATTCTTGACGCAATTTCAAAGCTTTTTCATAATATTTAATGGAACGTTGTTAATTTTTCATTGCTAAATGATAATTTCCTTTGTGCTCCGTGATTGCTATTGGTCCTTCTTTATGATCTTCTTTTATAAATATTATTCAGCTTTATCATATTCGCCCATTTGAACTAAAATATTTCCTAATGAAACCATAGATGTTTCATCTCCAATATCTTTTTTCATATACGCAAACACTTCTTTTAATTCAAAATCATCTTTACTACAGAGAGTCAAGTCTAATATGTACAGCTTAGGTCGATAATGGGGTTCGCCCCGCTGACCTTGTTTGCTTGAGAATCAATAAAGACATGAAACAATATATACAGCTGATTTTTATTGTTGAAAATAACGTTATTGATACGAAATATTGAGCCGAACATAAATAAGATTTCTTTTTCGGTTTTATAAAAACTAAAACGTTCGATATCAGCATAGGTTTTTGTTGGCAAACAACAATCAATTGTAATTCGCCATAGTATACGTCGTATATGTTCAGTAATCTTTGCTTCTTTAGCAAATGATTTAGCTTTTGTTTCACTTCGACTTGTTGAGAAGAAACTATTAATTGAGATAAAACCACCAATACCCTGTTGCATTTGTTTCAATTCTTCTTTAGCAATGGCCTGACCGTGATAAACGTGTATTATGTGTGCATTATTATCGTTTAAATTTTGTCCTCTATGAGGATTATATAGTTCAGTGACTTGCTTCGATAATTCATTCATAAAAAAACGAAATGAAAATATCATGTCAATCGATTGTTTCCGCAATGCTCTATTTAATATACGATACAAAGATGATTCACGTGTATACCGCCAAACTGCTTTTTCTCTGATGTATGCGTCCCATATAATTATCTTTCCACATTTCAGTCAAATCATTTGTAGCGTTATCTGGATACGGCATACGTATTAATACTTCAATCAATAATTGAAATTAAAGAATAGAACTCATTTCTTTTGCTATATCTTTTGCTGTTATTTCTTTAGCAATTGCCGTATGTGTAAGAATACTTATTGGTACATGATCTTCAGTTAGATTACGAAGTTTTTGATCTTCACTAATTTTTCAGTCAGTTCTTTACGTCGAACTATCACTGACCGAACCTAAAACGAAAAGGGCAAGGTCATCATCTTCTGTCAGGTCCATGTTGCAAGGCCGTTGTGATCGAACTTGTAACTTTCCAAGCTTATTTCTGCACTACTGCTAAACTTGTAACCACATTTTTTCCTTTCAGCGTGCTTTCTTAGACGATAACATTGCTGTTAATGACTAATTATAAAACTAACGTTTGTATAATTTTTTGACCATTCTTCATTATGTGCGTTATCAGCACAGTAAACATAGATACAATTTAATTGTGTTAAATCGTGTAGACATGGCACAAGCTCACGTCCATAAGTACCAGAGACGATTAAAACAATTTTCTCACGTTGAACACTCATGATATATTCCTCACATTTTTGTAAATCATTAAATCTTTCAATGTCGTTAACACTTGCACGCAATTCATTGTATGGAAAGAAATTTCGTAGAAAGTTCGGTTTCAGATGTTAAACTGCTTAAACTGTTCTTCTGGGTGTTGGCTGTTGCATGGTCGCAGGAAACATGCCTGAAATTAGGCCCACACTGTCATTCCACCTCGTTGGTCTAAATACATTCCTCAGTTGGTAAAGTGCAGTTATTGCTGTGTTTATAGAACAGATAATATAAGAAAAATGTAAAAATTTTTTTGTCATATCTGATATTTCGAATGATGGTACTGACTAGTGTCATAGTAGTATTATGGTTTGACTGGGAGTGTATAATAAAATGGAGATAAGAACTAAAAATATGATTCTGCTTTTTCTGTGGTGCCTATTCTTTTTTTCGCCAGTTTCATTTCGTTTTTATTATCTGAAAACATTAATACGTTTATTAAATATATTGTTATATATAACTTATACAGCCCTTTACTTTTCACCATTTGACAAATTCAACCACGTCACAACTGTGTTCAGTGCGAAAGGATGCTGTTAATGACACAACAGCAACAATATTATCATCGGGTACTCCATACGATGATTTAACAAATGCAGAGATTGATGAATTTTCACGGTTTTTCGAAAGTCATTCCACCTCGTAACAATCATTAGATTGTAGTTAAACATAGTCAAGTTGCACGAAACTCAAAATGAAATTTTATGTGATGACTCAGTTTCATGTTGCCCCCCCCCCCCACACACACACTTTTCAGATGCCTCAAGGTCTCTCGGATAGAACGTATGCTGTCGGATGACAATCGGACACAATTTAAGATATGAAACCGAAATTTCTACGAAATTTCCGAAACTCCTTGTCAAGGAGTCACTTCTTATTCGCTCTGGTTCTTAATGGAATAGATCGATCTGTTCCATCATATGTTTATCCCGACAGCATTGAGAGAAACAAAGAGAAGGAAGATGGATGACTTGTACAATCAGAATAATCAAGGATAAGAATACTATAAAATCAAGCATTGATAATGGTGCTGGGACGTTTTTTATATGCGCATATAAAAGAAAAGAATAATCTAGGCTATGTTTTAATTTCTCTTTTCATTCTGCGTTATTACGTAGGGGAATAAAAGAAAAGAAGTTTTTGTTTCTTAACTCTTGTACATTTAGTTTTGTAACCTTTTGAAAATGACCGGTTAAAAGTCAAAATATCAACTAAATAAGATAAAGACAGCTGCAATTATAATCAAGTTTTTGATAAGTAAGTTGTTGCCCTCAAACACTGTACTTAAGTCAAATCTCAATGCCGAAAAGTCACAACGCATTTGATAAAACTCGATTTCAGCAATTCTATTCATTCGTCTCATTCCTCTTAATTTTGGCGTTAATTCTAAGAACTTCGATAACTCTTGTGTGAAAGACGTTAGTTTATGTATTTGACGCAATTTATTCGACAAGGTATTCTACATTGGTGTTAAAGATGGAAAAAGAATAAAGGAAAAGATTAACTGTATGAGTTCAACAATCATTATTTTAAAACTTTTATTTAAATGTTGCTGACGATGATTACAGTTGTAATTGAAAGCTCCTGTTTTAAATAAAAGTTTTAAAATAATGATTGTTGAACTCATACAATTAATCTTTTCCTTTATGAAATTATTATCAATAAACAATGTGGGAATAGGAAAAATAATAGAGTTGAGTTTTTACTTTTTCGTAAATTAACTTGATTTTATTGTGATTGTTAGAACGGGTGTTATGAGATGAGTTATACATCGCTTGTATATACTTACAAAGAAATGATGATGCTTTCTTTTAAAATAATTTTGATTTTATCGAAATGCTTCAGTTTTATTAATTTAAACGTTACTTTGAAGTTACTCCATTCTAATAGTCTTCTTATTTTCATTTGATTCGTAAGACGTTCTGTACCGCTTACTAATAAAGATGCATTATATTGCACGTGTTCAAAAGCAGAAATATTAGATTTATTGATACAGGATCCATAAGTGATCACTGGACGAACAAAAGATTTATGTAACTGATTGGATGTGGGTGTACTGAAAATTCTTTTACATGTTTTTATCATATTTAATAACTTTTCACATTTATTTAAAACATATTGTCGATATACTATCCAATCTAATTTACTCGTCAAGAAAACTCCAAGATGTTTGTGTTGTTTAACCTCATTTAGAGTGATATTATTTATCCTAAGAGGTGTAAAATTGTAATTAAACGTCATTGATTCACATTCCTTTTCATTTAAAGGCAACTCTCACTCAACTGACCATTGATGAATTTTTAACAAATCACTATTTAAATATGCTGTCAAATCATGTATATCATTACCGGATTGAAGAATGACGGTATCGTCAGCAAACAACCGTGTGTATGAATTTAATGATTCTCCAATATCATCAGTGAAAGCAAGAAACAACAATGGATCGAGGTCGCTCGCTTGGGGAACACCTCGGTCCTACTTTTTTCGGCGATGATAGACTTCCATTAATCACTGTTATTATTTCTCTATCAGTCACACAGCTCTTAAAGCAACTCAGTAATGAGTCGCCAGTATCTTTCATTTCGAATTTATACAGTAATTCTCTTAACCAAACACGAACTAACTCCTTACTAAAATCAAGAAATATGGCTCTTGTTATTTGCCTCTTATCCTCATTCTGATAAATTGTATGAACAAAATCAGTCAGCTGATTCACTGTGGAATCACCTTTACTGAATGCCGACTGCATACTTGACAACAACTTATTCGTAGTGGGATAGTGATACAAATAATTATATACAACGCGCTCAAAAACTTTGCTGAGAATTGGTGAGCGTATTATTGGCCTATAATTATTTGTACATAAGAATCATCGTCTTTAAATAATGGATTGATCTAATCTATCTTAAAGACCTTCGGGTATTCGCCTGTTTCTCTTGACTGATTAATTATACTCGCTATGCAGACTGATGTAATTATAGATGCTTCTCACAATAAGCGTGATGTTATTCCTGCTCTGCCTGCTTTGTTTATCATCAACTCGCCAACCATGAAAAATACGTTTAGAAAATGACTTTATCGGAATTGATGGAGATTAAAAAAATTGAACCGATTAAAACGTAGCAGCTGTTACTAGTCTCGAAAAATGTTTTTTATTCTTTTTTAATACTCCTTTTGTCCGAAAATCAAGCACGTTGTAAGTGGATAGCACATAAACCATCTATGGACTGTGATAGTTAGCCGCTCTCATGCCGTAGAACGGCAAAATCTTCGAAAGTTCATAATTTTAATTTAATTAGAAGTGCATAGATATTGCTTTTTTCATACACCTGGGATCTGGAAATTTCTGAGAGTTCATACTTAGTTTGGTGAGATACAAGTGCTAGTTTGTATCCTTTAACAGCCGCTACGTAGTCTGATTTGACACATTCCGATAAACTAGCGACATACAATGCGTCGGCGACCCAATGATTATATTTAATTTACTTAGGATAAAATCAATCTAAGTAGCATAAACGACAAGAGGTGGGATTCTCTGTTGATGCTCTTTTACAAATGGTATTACTTTCATATTATCAAACAGATCTGTAGTACAAATGGACACAAAATGCATATTCAGCTTTTTAGTTTCCTCGTATATCCACTGCCCACTCTGATTTTTTAATGGACGAATATTTGACTGTTTTTTCCTTCCAAAACAAAAGTTTAATGCTTTACATATATATACTCGTCCTTCGTTTGTTTACATGAATCATGAAATGTGTTTGTTAAGCAGATATATTTATTACGACTATCGTCCGTCTTTGCTTTAACATGTTGTCTGTATGGTCTGTCCCTTTTCCTCAACCACGTACGCAAATTATCTGTGAACCAGGGTTGATTACCGTGTTTAATTCTAGTTTTATTTGGAATTGATTTATCAGCAGCTTCAAGTCTTACTTTCTTGAACTCATCAATTTAATAATCTAATTATATTTACTATTAAATGTATGACTAATAGAAAGTAATAAATGAGAAAGTGTGAAACGAAGATAATTCTAATCAGTCGTTCTGTAATTATATATCCTTCTCGTAAATGATGATTTATTTTATTTGATTACTGATGTTAAAGCTAACTATAGCATGATCACAATTTTCACATAAAAAATCTTCAACTTTCGCACTACCCGGAACATTGAAAACTGCCAGTTAACTCTCGATTAATTGCCAGTTGACAGGCGGTTTACTGGTTATAAATAGGTAGTTTGAACTATCACTTTATGGCGGTAAAACGGTCTACGCAAAACTGCCGGTTTTTAGGCAGTTAACTGTCAGTAAACGGTTTAATAAGGGCCAATAAACCGTCAACAGAACAGAAAAAGAGTAATAACGTCAGATATAGGGATTGAACCTATGTCTTACAGATTAGTAGTCCATCAAAAAGGCAGATTCTCAGAACTGTACTTTCGTAAGGTTCGGCCAGTAAACGAAAAAGCCCAAAACAGTGAGTTAACTGTCTGTAAATGAACCGTTAACCACACAGTTAACTGACTGTTTTTTGGATTTTCAGTTTACTGGCAGTTATTAGACGATAGTTTTGCAGACCTGAAAACAACCAATAGAGAAAATTATTCTCTAGTGATGTACACAAGGCCCAGCTCTTTAGCTTGTGCTGTTCAGGAACTATAAGTCGTTTCCTGAGGGCCCCGATTTCGGCCAGCTGACCTTGGATCACTCCAGAAAACCTCGAAATATAGGTAATCGACCATGCTGAGTCGATAAATGTGCCTTTCGATTTAATTAAATGGAAAATTGTTTTTGAAAAGCCAACAGCCCCAGTTCTCAACAGTTCCAGCTGGAACTAGTGCATACCTACTAGCTTTGAGCGGATAATGAACATTTAGCGCTTTTCTTGTAAAATCTATAACTTTGCAAAAAAAGATCGTGTAGAGCTAGTAGAGGTCTTATTTTAATCGGAAATTTGCGCGCTACAATCATGGTTCATTAAGAAAGGTTTTGGTTATTTTTTAGATTTTCTAAAAGCTGATTTTACAGAAAACCGGGACTTAAAGAATCATAAGGAATAATCCTTCCAGGCTTTCCACTTGCTCCATATCCTTTATGGATCAACGTTTGAACGGACGAATTGGAAGGTATCACTTGGATAGGGCACTTCGTAAGCCTAAAGAAAGCTAGAAGGAGAAAGCAAAGAAACGAAATTCTTCCATTCAAAAAATTCTTGATTTGGATTACCGATATGTATACGATCAAATTCTTTCATTGAAACATTTTTAGTGGTTCGGTACTGTATAATTTCTCACATTTATTCTGATGTAGAAAAGTACGGTTCCGAACAATAATACATCCTGCACCTAACTGAAATGTCCAATTATAGGTCAATCAATTGGGCTGTGAGCGAGCGCTTAATTGAGTGTCAAGATCCCTAAAGCACTGTGCGGACTTGAACTGAAGTACTCTAGATAACTTCAACTGATTTTACTTTTTTTTAATTGGCATCTCTTTGTATAACAAGGATTTACAACGGTACTACAGATGTATTTACAATCCTTACATAACGCTTCCCCTCCGACAAAAAATTAAGCCCACCTCAGTGAAAGTTCTGTCAATTGTTGATGTTGTTTATGTGAAACTGATGTAATCAAGATGCGGCCACCAGCATTGAGATTTATCAAACATTGGTTGTAATTATATTCCACTGCATTAAGTCTAAACTTTAATATATAAGAAACAGTAATCAAATGGGACTACGCGCATTGCATGACGTTGGGAAAGAACTGAATTTACCCTGGGACAGATTTCAATTCACTAACATCACTATAAAACTTGACATCAGAAAAATGATTAACCATCCGATGCACTTTTCTGTGTCGTGCATCAAAGAAAATGGATAAATTATCGTTGTTGTTAGAAATAGTTTTAAAAAGTTAGGAGCATTGCTTTTAACGTATTTTTATTGATGAGGAAACTTTTAGAGAAATGAGAATACTTGCGACTATCTGCGAATACTTCCGAGTATATGAGAATTCCGGAACACGCTAATCCCCTTTTCCTCCTTGCTTTCACTTCACTGTATGTATTAGATACAATTTTTATTATATACAGTTCAGGAATACATATTTTATTAAAATAGGAGCTACAAGCTCGTTTTCTACACTGAGATCACTTTTCAAAATTGATAGAATATGCCATTTCCAGACTAAGATCATTTTTTTTCCTTAATTATAAAAGTGATCACAATTACGAATGAGCCAAAAAGAACACTTCGAAAGCTGTATATAGAAAGGTTTCTTTATATATGAATGTAACGGAAGAAAAACTGTATTCTTTCTTTGTCATTTCTGTTTTTTTATTTTGGTATACAACTTTCCTAGTGTTCTTTTCATTTAAGTGTTTATTTTGTCAATGCTGTTCAAGATGAAAAGAAGCTTTTCTTTTTCCTTCCTTTAAGAGAAAAATATTATATGGCTTAAATAAGTACAAACCCTTATACATGACAATATTCGTTTTCGAAAAAAAAAGAAGACAGCAGAAGAAAGTGTGCAGTTGAAAAAATACGGTAAAGTTTTTATAGTAAAATGGATTCTTTGTTCGGTACTGCGGGTGATCGTCTCAGTCATCCTAAGGATCTTGATATCATGTTTAATGAAGGCAAAATTGACGATGAAAATGACTTAATTTTCACTCCAGCTTGCGATATTTTTGTTCGTGTTAAATGGCATCATGATTCAAAACTTCCTTATGGTTATGATAATGAAGGTGTATGTTGCATCAATGGTTATGAAATGAAACAAAAACTGTGTGTAGATACACAAGATGGTTCACTACTATCACAGATGCTGTCAATTTTATCTGTTAAACAAGAAGTAAATGTAGAAACAGTAGCCATTCAACGAAAAACACTATTTAATAAACGTTGTTTATCGGAAGATTTTGGAAAACAGTTTGGTGAAGCATTAGATGCAACGATATCATCACGTTCACCTTCAAAATCCCATTTTCTTCACCTGTACAATCGATTTAAAAACGAGATTAATAAAGTATGCCGTGAAAATAAATCATGGGATTATTATTGGCCTTTGATTTATATTGAAATACCCTTTATGTACTCTGCTCCATGTTACGGTATTCGAATGAGAAGAGACTATCGAGATCAAGTATGTTCATTGATTGATTTCTATCAAAAATATAAACATTTAGTTAATGCAGATCTAGCGAAACGATTATTTGAAAAGTTATTATATACGATCTTGAGTTATGAGAATGATATTGTTCTCGGATTAAAATTGAACTTTTGGCCCAAAAATGTTCAACCCTTTTTAAAACGTTTACAAACGACAAAACCGGATATTTATGAAGCAATAAAGACTATTCATATGCATCTTGCACCCAAGTGTTTACCTCACACAGCGCTTGAAAATCAAGCCTTTGAGTTTCGATATAGTTTTTCGGCTATCGAACAAAAATTGGCAGAGTTACGAACGTCAACTGGAAGAAAATTGTATGTAATCGCACGGAATATTTATTATAAACATTTGCATGAAGTAACAAAAACATTATCATCTTGTTGTATTAAAACAAGTGTATTATGGATGGATGAAACAATCAATGAATTGGAAGAAAATACTGAAATATTGGCGATACAATGGAGCTCTTATTTTTCTACACTACTGCTTACAGGTAAGTTTGATAAACTTTAATAAACGTTGTCGTCTTCAAGTAGTAAATACAATAACAGAAGTTTAAGTTTATAAAAGGTACCTTAAACCAGAAAATGCATAGTTCGTGTCCTCTTATACATATAAGCAAAAAAATCGAACTGCATATTAGTACATCGTATAGCCATTGAATCGTCTTAAATAAAGTCAAGGAAATAAGTGAATCGAAAAGCCCTGGATTGTACATTCGATAGAAGTATGTTACATGTCTAGGAATATAATACTTTGCTTACACCAAGTTGATTCACTTTAGAATAAATATTTTAATGAGAAGAGCAATGAAAGAGTGACGCTCATCCCAAGAAAAAAATACATTTTTAGAAATCAGAAGAATAGAAAATTAAGTGTCATACATTATTCAACAGATCTAGAGTCAAGATTCTTGATGAGAGAAATCAAATTGTATAGAACGTGTCACTCTGCTTATAATACTATGTGCAGGTGATGCAGGTAATATTTGGTCAGGCCATCGAATGAACATGTGCTTACAAAATAAAATTGGAATTAAAGCTTGATTATTCTTTTAATAAGGATTTGACTGGTATGTACAAAATCTAAACTTGATCTAAACACTTTAGTTTTGAGATAACTGTACGTTTTCATCAAAAACGTCAGGGAGTATCTATCGATAATCTCAGTTTTTCTGGCGAACGCATATAGCACTATTAGTTAATCTTTTTCAAGATTATCTATCTCGATAAGCACTACGCTTACTAAAAGTTTCATGAGATACTGTTAGATACAAACAAAGATACGAATGGAATGATTTGTAAAAGTGACTTGACGTCTGTGAAATGAAAAAGTATTCAAATACATTTGAAAAAATTCTGGGAATAACTCCAATCCATGTGAAAATATAGATTTCCTGACGAGTTCAAGTTTTAAGGTATAGTCTGGATCGTCGAATGAATTTATCAACAGGACTCTGGAGGAGTCGAGCGAGATGTATGTCCATTACGCATAACAACATTTGCGGAAAGGCATACGTTCGATCGGAGTTTTGATCACAAATATTATCGTTTTGGAATATTGTTGTGTGATCCAGAAAAATCTCGCTCTACTACTTCAGAGTCTTTCTGATAAGTTCGATCGAAGGTCCAAGTTATATCTCAAAACATGAACTGGTCGGGAAATCGATGCTGTCACATGGATCTGAGTTATTCTCGTATTTTTTCAAATTAACCTAGGAGAAAATCAAATCAGCATATGCATCCATCTCGAGTTAAATTACGCACGGGCGTAAATCCTATTCTTTTGAATTTGAGTTACGCTTATAATCTGTTTAGTCAAACGGATTTTATGAACAGTATACATTTGACACGATAACAGTACTATGATAATGTGTACGTACAGTCTGTTATTCCACATGGACACGACAATGACGTCAAATAAACCACAGAAAAAGGTTTACAGTATGGACTATAATTTCTGTCCTAAAGACGCTTTTTCTACTTTATTATGTATAGGTCAGTGTCCGCATTATTTTATGAACAACGTTAACCTTTTTGAATCTGTATCCGTAGAAGATCGAGAAAAACTATTAAATATTATTGAAACAAATGTCGTACCGTCTGAAATTGATTATTATACAATCAATCCATTAGGAAAAAATATGAGCGATACCAACGATGAATACTTGAAAGCAGCTAATGTTTATTCTACAAATAATATTAATAAAGATTTTCTTCACGATATTATTCATGCTGTACAGGATTGGGATACATTGCTATCTCAATACTTTGCATCCACACAATCGACTTGCCATCTTGATCATTTATTATTAGTATTATTTGTATTTAAAGTGATAGATGGGGATGGTAATCAGAAAAATTTAGAAAAATGGAAAAATCATTTTTTGGATGATAATGCTATCAACGAGCCAGGCCGTACAACGACCACAGTAGAAAGTATTGTTTGGGAAGCTGAACACAATTTGCATCCCGCTGTTTATACACGTTGCTTTATTATGTTCGTAGTTATATTTCCACTGATTAATAATATTATGACAAAACAAGAGTTAACCGAACAAATAGATAACATTAATTTAAATATTCCATTGAGACTTTTGAATGTAATTATTTCGAGATCAAGCCTGTTCGAGATGAAAACACGTAAGCTTTATAGATATACATATCTACTGATTATTAGAACAAAGAAGGTACTTAGATATTTTTGAATAAATTTTGAGTGAGAAATGCTAGAAAGGAGGAGGGCGGATAAGGTAGGTTTCCCGCACCCAATGGAATTGCATTTTTTCTGTCAGAAACATGTCAGGGGATTATTTGAAACATTTTGTACCACTTAGTTTTTCAAAATTTTTTTGGAAGGTTTTTGACGCCTTTGGTCCCCCAAAGGATTTTAGGAAAACTTTTTTTCTCACATTTCTGTAATAATACATGGACTAGACGTAGAATTTCATGCTGATTGCGAATATCGCCTTTAAAATAAAAAAAAATTGAGTTTTCGTGACGAAAAATTTTTACTGCATTTGCGTTACGAAAATGAGATGGTGGTACGCAAATGCAGTAAAAAATTTTCGTCACGAAAA